GATACATTTACACGTTATGCATTAATGTAATAGAGTTGCAACTGCCCTGGTTGTACGTTGATGTTTACACGTTATGCATTAATGTAATAGAGTTGCAACTGCCCTGGTTGTACGTTGATACGTTTAAGTGGAAGCAATTATATCACACACGGCTACATACGATGGGGACAAATTAAGGTACATACTGCTACAAACGCGCTGGTGACAACTAAGCTACATCTGAATAGACTGGCTTGTGATCAACTCTGCTATCTACACCCTGACGCAGATAACTGGAACTACTGCACGACCGTGATTTATGCGGGGACGGCCTATCCTGACTATCGCACCTGTGACGGTGGGACTGTGATTGACTGGTCAGCCTTGAGTACTGGCGACGTAGTCGAGGTGTGTGTTGACAGTGTATGTATGCGACTATGAATGTGCGGGTGATATCGTTTGTACGTGCACATATTGATATTGATAATTGAGATTTTATGTTGAGTAAATATATGACACACACACACGCATATATATATATATATCTGTGTCTGTGTATGTATATGTATATATATAAATGTATGTATGTATATACAGCGTGGTTTCGCAGTTCACCCGTGCTTAACCTTTAGTTTGTCTGCACTTCGCTAAGTTGCGCTACATTTGGGCTGCAAGCAATACGAGTGATGCTCAAAATATCAGGGCACAGTAGGAATATTTCACCCTCCTCCCCCGCGTACTCCTGCTATATAATATGAGTCATGCTTACTTACACTTCCAAACTATATGTTACTGTGATTGGTTAGTCACGATCCAGTAGCCATGAGTCCAAACCGTTTTTAGATTCATATCCGATGTCACAACACTCACTGCAGGAAGAAGTTCAAATAATATAATACAAACTTCATACCCAAGTCTGTACCACTCAACCCACTGTAATACCGGACATGCAACAAACCGTGGCACACAAGCAAACAAAACTCAAAGCGATATCTCATATCTCGCACAGAATTCGACTTTCATGCTCATAACACTCTTAGTGGTAGGAGTGCCAGGACACACCCTGCCTGTATTACAAGCAGTCCACCATGCACGGAGGTCTAAAATAAACTGTAATCTGTCTGGGTTAAACGGTACCGCCCAACTGAATTTTGCATATACTTAGTATACTATTGCATGCTTTCTCTTGGGACAACATGTTATATTTTATCCAGATGACATCATCACTAGTTTCGGTCTACCACTATACTCAGTATACTATTGCAATCTTTCTCTTGGGACTACAGGTTATATATAATACAGATGACATCATCACTAGTTTCGGTCTACCACTATACTCAGTATGCTATTGCATTCTTTCTCTTAGGACTACATGTTATATTTTATCCAGATGACATCATCACTAGTTTCGGTCTACCACTATACTCAGTGTACTATTGCATTCTTTCTCTTGGGATAACAGATTATATTTTATCCAGATGACATCACTAGTTTCGGTCTACCACTATACTCAGTATACTATGACATTCTTTCTCTTGGGACTACAGGTTATATATAATCCAGATGACATCATCACCAGTTTCGGTCTACCACTGGAAGGATTCCAGAGCACGAAGTGGCAGAACTTTGGAATGCTCTTACTGGTGTGGGCCTTGACAAAAGTCCTGGCATACTGTGCCCTTATATTCAAAAAGTACGGGCGTATAGATTAGGTCCCAAGGTTACTATAAATTGGATGTTTAATATATCACGTGTAGCTTACAATAAATACATACTGAAAGAATAGCTCAATTTGTTCACGATTGAATAGACAAATACATTGCTACTTTATCTATACTTTATCCATGTGAATGTTAAGCCGCACCCCATATAAACCTAAACTTTGATTTCGCTATTCGATAGGCCCTATTAAAACGTGTCCCTTCTTAGAGAACACACTCAAATAGCATCAAAATACGTACATGCAATTGGGAGTGAGATTTCTTATACAATGTAAATAGTGGCTTGCAATGGGCTTCTGGTTAAATATCACGGATCTGAAACACGAATATAAATATCTTTTTGGGCGTCAGATATATGCAAACCAGAAGGCATTACTATGTTCTTCGCCAAGTAATCGTATTAGTTTGGAATTAACTTGCTACGTATACGTAAATATGACTTTACGAGGTTAACTCAAAAGTTTATTTCTTTTCAACATGGGTCAACCAGTAGCGATAGGCGTATTCCTGCGAGACAACCAAGTTCCCGCCGTCCAGTCTCAGTGGTGATTTTATTTTGTTTTTGTCTCTACCTTGTAGTTGTCAGCCGGCCTGTGCTATCACTGCTAGGTGCTGGTATTTGGTATCCCACCCTGGCCCCTAAGTATACGAAGAACCACAGTATGAGATCTATTGACTCTAACTGGAGTTCTACAGTTCCATTTTGTTACTTATGGGGCCATATGTAGGCCATATAGCCTTCTTCCATTTGCATAGCCTTCTAGTACATCAATCTGATAAGTGTACCGGTATTATAACAAACTGGCCGACAATTGTATGATTACCTTCAAGGTGAAGCTGGTCTTTGCAGAATGCATGCATGTATGTATATATGTATGTATTTATGTATGCATTCATTTAAATATGTATTCATGTATGCATGCATGCATGTTTTTATATACAAATGTATGTACTTATATATACATAGCGATGCATAGGACAAAATTTAAAACATTGTGTTTATGTATATATGTATGTATGTATGTATCTTTATATGTGTGTGAGTGTATGTATAT